AACCATGGCCGGCTGGCTGCCGATTCATCTGACGTGTAGCGCCCTGCCGGTACCTTCATCGGGATGGGCATCGTTGTTCCAAACACCCCCTCAAGGCACCGCGGTTCGTCCTGGCCAAGTTGTTGATGTCGCTGTTTCTCCTCGCTGTCCGTCACTGTCACAGCTGGACCCCCTTCACCTTTCGACATCGGCGCCTGCCCCTGTGCATCTTGGTCGACTCCCGGCCGTGTCCCAGTGTCCGCAGAGCCCGGCAGGTTACCATCCACAGCGACTAAGACGCCGCACTCCCAGTTACGACAGGTGAGCTTGGGCGCTCCCGAATCCCGTTCCTTCACTAGCCGGCCCCTAAAATCCAATTTGAGTCAGCCTTATGCTAGATCCATGCTGTTTCATTTTGTTGCTCTCCGTCTCTTCAATCTCCTCCTAAGAACCCCCTCCTTGCCCTTCGCCTCGTCGCCGAATGCAGCGTTAGGGACTGTTGCCAACCCCGGGGTGTCCCGTATGACTTACCATGCGCTCTCGGATAGATTTGCACTACCCATATATGCCCAGGCTGCGCCGTCGCGCGCCTGGACAAAGATGGCTTTGGTGTGTAGAAGCAAGCCGCTTCGGACACTCTGGCAATCTCGGAGTAATTCTCGTGGGAAAGTGGACGATTTCCACCACTTCTCTTGGAAGCAGATGGTGCCGGCAGACTAGGGCATCATGTAAGATGAGCATACAGGGAAAAGGCAAGGGAATTTGGTCAGCAGGATCGACCGGTACCGCGGCGATCCCGGGCGGCACACAACTTACAGATCTACCGCCCCGGCTGCTGGAAACGGTATGTTCGGTCGGGAAGTAGATACGGAAATGGCGTTGCAATTGGAGCGGCTCATTGAAGACCGGTCTAGAACCGTCCAGGCCTGCTTTTGCGGCCTTGCTTCTGGCCGGTTTGGGTTTCCTGGCATCGTATTCCTTCATACCCGAATCCCCTACAAGAGGTCGCGGCACGTTAGCATGAGATTTTCTATCTTGTCAAATCACAGCAGGCTTGCTAAGAACCAGACATACCTTGGCAGGCATAGTAAATCGCTTTTAAAGAGGCATCGTTCAACGACCCCAGTGATGATGCCTAAGATGACAAATTGATTAGCAATGCCCCAGGTCACGCGGGCCGCCAAGACCTTGACAGTCTTCTTAGCCAAGATACCGCTTGCGTACCACGTAGTCAATATCCACGGCATCCTCAGTTGCTAGACCCAAGCTTCGGACAGTACTCCCTAGCCCACAGTAGCCTAAGGTCAACAGTCAGTAATGCTTCGACACGCCACGGCCGCCGTAGGCCTCGCATTCCGGCCAACCGCGGGTTGACTGGCCTGTGTGTTGCCAAGAGTCATTGGCATGGCTGCCTGCACTGAATATCGATGTCACCATCAGTCATGGTGTCATCTCAACTAGGATTGTACTGGCGCTGACTCACATAGAATGAACGAAACCGTAGCGGCTTGTCTCGGTAAAGTCGTAGCTGTCGAGACTTTTGACCAGCTTTTCGTCCAGTCCAAGAGCTCGTAAGAATCGCCGGAGCTCAGTTCCAAACAGCGTCTCGGCCGGGGGCGCAGCCTGCTGCGTGCTTTCGAGCTTGGGCAGATCGATCAGGAAAACCATCTGCTATGGATCAGCGGAATGGCCGAGGATCTGCCAGCTATTGGGGGAGGGGGCAAACGTTTTCTAAGACTCCGGTCTCGCCCCAATCATATGGAACCAGATTACCGGAAGGAATCACAATGCGGAGATAACTGTAAATCAATCAACAGCTGCCGGTAGCTTAAATAATGGAGACCAACGTACCCTTCATACTTCAGAATCTGCAGCTTCGAGTGCATGTATCCGCCGTACATTGGCGGAAAGCAAAATCGGACAAGGCCAGTCGGGGCGTTTGCGCGGATGGCAGCTTTCTGGAGTAGTGAATTGTAACATCAGTCATGGCTTCCAACTTAAGCCAATACAAGACCGATTGTAGCTTTTTTTGTATCGGAAGACATACCTCAGCCTCGTTGTTTGCATAAGCAACGAGCAGCAGCCTAGTTTGTCTGACGTCGACCTTGGAAAGTAGCCACTCCTCGTCCCACTGGAAAGATGAGAGTACGGCCAGCTGTAGCTTGTCCTTTTGAAGGATCTCCTCGATCTTGATGTCCTCACCGGTCCTAGGATATCCAAGAGCCCAAGTCCGCTTGAACGCGCCTTTTGGGAACGGTAGTTGAGGCACGTCTCTTGCTGCAGTTGCTGCTTCTAATGAACCGAAGGTGGCGCTGGAGGGCCGGTGCCCTTTGGGTGCTTCAGCTCGCTGTGTCTTTGGTCTTTGATGCTGATCATCAAGCTGAGCTTGAGTTGCTGAACGTTTCTTGAGTCTTGCAAGCCGCTCTTCCTCCATCCTCTTTCTATCGAGCACCAAGGATCCGAAGTTGGTAGCGGGGGCTGACTTTGGGGTCTGTTCTGAAGGTCTTTCGGTAGAGGAGGTCGTTGTCATACCCCCGATCTTTGGGTTTTCTTGTTCCTGCAAGGAAAGCGCAATGGCCAAGGCAAGATCGGGATCATCATCGGGACCTGGCGATGAAGAACGCGCTCGCTCGCGGTTTGAAGCCATGCTCATTATCGTGTGCCGGAGGCGAGTTCGTTACAGTGACAACTTCCTCTGCTTGGATGGTAGTTTGATCAAACCCACAATTGGCAATCACTCGGCTAGTCGTCTTTTATATGGCAATCAGACGTGATGGTGGATGTTGAGCATTGTGTGACGTCCACATGCAGGCGACGTGTAACGAGGCACTTCGGGTGGACCTGCCTGTCACGAAGTCATGTGCTTTCGCGTTGCATGTCTCCCCGATATACGCACATCCTTGCCGGTGCGGGTGTTTACAATCGGGTAAGTACATGTAGTTGAATATCAACCTGTTAACGAATAGCTTCTCCCTACATTGACTGGCTATTCTGAAATGATGACCTTCAAATGGAGCTTATATTCTCCCTAAAATCAATTAAGACGGCTTATTTTTCTGTTAAGTCATGGCGCGTCTCGCTTCTCAAAACGTGGTATTCGCACAAGAATTAACACAACCCTTTGAACTATGTATAGCTATTGGCAACAGTAAGGTTCTGAAATAATCATGTAACAACAAGTGCACAGCTTCATAAAGGACAACTACATTTTTCAGCTGTCGAGGCCCATCGAACCAATCGTTGGTCTGAGCTGTGTACGGATTCGGGATTTCCGAGGGACCTGTATCACAACTCAATAAACAGACTATGTTGCCAAAAGGAGACCCCCTAGACGATTGCTCCTAATCAGGAGACAAGAAACCTAGCGGGAGGAAAACCCTGAACAGATTACGTCTGCAAAAGTTTCTGTAGTCATACAGACCAACAGCGTTGTACAGCGTGGCTCCAGAATGAGATTGCTTCTATGCCCAAGGCCTGGAGCTGTTGTGTAAGACACATGGTAGCTTGCCGTCAAAATACCGCCAATTCCGTAGAGATTTTGTTCAAGCCCGAGAAGCTGTAGCCCTAAGTATCTTTTGACAAGCATGTAGAAGGCTCTCGGCAAACTAGTTTCCAGGTATGCTTACCGGATAATACCCGCGGGACATCACCCAAGAGGTCAAATTATCGGTAAATCATTAAACGGACCATGCCAGATCTGTGCCTCGTTCCTATTGATATCGAGACCGAGACATGGTTTGTTTTATTCCGAAAGACAATAGGTGATAATACAGTCTGCCCGCCCGCTAGGTTGTGATCTACAGCAGAGACCAAACAGACCGCTAGTATAGTTCGCCCCATCGTCGAACGGTTGTTCCAAGACTTACTCATGAAGCCCAGACATTGCGACCTTGGCAGCTTCTTACCATACTTACCATGATAACCTTTGATAATGTCGACAACTTCGGTAGGGAATGGTTTGTAGCGCCCCCCCCCAAAAGAAAAGGCATACTAATCGGTCTTAAACCAGAAAAGTCATCTGCAACGTCCTAGGGTGGGTACAATGACAGAGAATACCTCGAATGGCACCACGAGACAACTCTCGGAAAAAGAAACCCGCGCTGGACCTTGAAGCTAACCGCAAAACAAGCACATTGTATCTTCAAAGATGCACATATGGAGGCTCCAAGCCCATACACACCACGGCAAGACATACGGGCAGGACACCCGTCTCTTCCCCAAAATGTCCTTGAACAGCAGCAATCAACGGCATCAGCTTCTTGAGGTCTTGAGCAACGACAAATCAAGAAAATACAGACCTTCTTGCTTGCGGTATAGAGACCTCTGAACCTCTGACGAGAACAATGAGGATCAAAATCTGGAACGGATCAAGCGGCGCTGACTGGGTCGTGGACAGTAGCACCACCTCTGCACGATGCCGAGCGTATTGTTCCTGCATGAAAGCAGCACATCGGGTTCGCTGGTTCAGACTAAAGGCCCGTTCCGCGACCCTACAGCATGGTCTTGAAAGACTACTGTCGCCGCTGCCCGCCATTTGGAGACGCAGTATCGCAAGTTTAATATGGAGGGCTTCCTCAAGTGCCCGCTCTTGTCCCGACGACAAGATCTATGCTGAAAAAGAGGAACGAAGAGAAAACCCCAACCGTCATGAAAGTCTTTACAAGTACAGCAATCAGCATGGCAACAAATACAATATACCCAGGCTACATGGAAAAGGAATTTGGAATTGTCCTAACTGAAGAAAAACATCAATGTCGCTTTCGGGTATCAAGTTGAATTTCAGGTCAGCATGTAAAGCAACCGCCAGCCTGCCGCTGCCCGCAACCCCAAGACACCCAACAAGACAAAAAGAATAATCATCAGATAGTAACCGCATAGACTCCTGTTCCATGCCAGTTGGTCTCAAGTAGCCTTGACGTCCTCAAAAAAAAAAAAGGCCAAGAATGCTAAGGCACCGTGTGACGCCCGGTTTGATGAGTGTAATGCAACTGGCTTGTTAGTAGTCCGCCCACAACGACTGCCTATGAGTATAGAGGGCGATCTCCGGACTTGGCAGTTGCCAATGGAGATTCGAGTTTAAGAATACGTCGCAAATTGTCCTCCATTGCGCGTAGGTCGGCAGAGTGACCGCTTTGGGATTCGGGAGTGCTTCCCATAAAACCGTTATGAACATACTGAGCTGGAGGACCAGAAGCTGACGGCTGAGCAGAGGAAGCTGAGCCTTTAGCTCCGAACAGATACTTTTTCAGAGCCTCAGAACGGTCCTCAATCGGCGGGGGCTGCGAAGTTCTCGCGCCGTTTGGTGACTGGTTAGGGGCGCCGCGAGCAGCTCGAATGCGTTCCTGATACGGCGTGGAGAAGGCAGGGCCAAGAGGCTTGCCAGAATGTCCGTCGAGCTCTGCCACGGAGATACCACTGGACGAACGCTGAAGGGACATGCGATGCCCAGGATGAGTGTTGTAGGGCTTAGCAACAAATGGACTGTTGTAACCATCCTTTGGCGAGGGAGCGGCGGGGGATTCGGAACCGACAGGTTGCATTGACGACTGGAGAGAACTGGAACGCCGCGCCTTCTCCCTTTCAGCTCTATCAGCTCTGAAAATGGCGTCGAGAGGCGACTCCTGGGCCCTGGGTACAGTAGCGGGGTGCTGCGGTGTAGGGCGCTCGTGGTGGGCTGGCGGAGGGGATGGCTGTTGTTGAGCGTCTCGCTTCGGGCCCGGAGATTCAGGGATCGACTTTGAGTAGAAGCTGGGCATAGGCAGAGCCGACGGAGCAGGCGAGGCATGGAAAGTAGCGCCGGCAAAGGCAGCAGCGGCAGCAGCAGCAGCAGCAGTTGGCTTAGTGTTGACGGGAATGTTCTGCGGGGTCGAGCGACGGTTATGGCGAGTGACGTCGGGCGAGGCTACCGTATTGGGATTCTTGGCTCGGGGCTTATTACGTGAACGCTGCTTGGAGCCAGTCTGGTTACCGGTACCAGACTGCGGCTCAGGGGAGCCAGAGTATGACTTCTGAGGGGTATGGGGATTGCCGTGATGCTCGTAGGCGAGGTTTGAGACGTCGGCCACGTCGTTCTCGGAAGCGTACATCTTCTGGCCGGCAGCCTTGCCGCCACCACCCCGACCCTGTCGGCGACGAGTGGGCGTCGGCTTTGCTTGGTTTGTTGTCTCTTGCATTCTGAGTAAAAGTATTGCGCAATACAATGGGTTGCGGTGGGTTCGGGTAGTAGGAACCAGAGTCCGGGTTGGCGAAGAAACTGCCCCGGATATGTTCGCTTGTGATGAAAGGATAGCGTGGCGACAATAAAGATAGGGCAAAGTGTATAAGGCAGGTATCGGTCTGACTGTCTGTCTGTTGGTTTTTCGGCTGCAAGGCTCCGTGAGAGAGAGAGAGTGTGTGTCTAGTGACTGTTTCTATAGCGCTAGCCAAAGATAATGGGCTTTTCTTTCTTGTTTCCCGTGTTTTTATTGGGTTCAAGAGCCAGGGGGATGATCTGTTTGACGAGGTGGATTGGAAGAAAGGGAAAGCGAGATATAGAAGCCAGTGTTTGATGCAGGAAAAGCGCGTGAGTATTCTCTGCTCATGTTGCCGTGCGGACAGTAATGGGCTGAAGCGTCGAGTGAGGTGACAGCGAAGAGGACTGGGGCCAGGTGCGATAGCGTGCGGCGAAGGAGGGGAGAGGGGCTTAAGTAACCCGGGTGTTGGTGTGGGCTACGGGTGCTGGTTGGCCTCGTTCGGCAGCTGGCAGTCGATCGAGCTGCTGGGTACGGATAGTACATACGGTGCGCACCGTACGGATACAGACAGGCTGACAGATAGACGCCGCCATGGCATCTTACTTATCGCAGAGTCCTCAAGTTCTTGGCACCCCCGATAAGAACCCCCCCCCCCCACAGTGTTAAAATCAGGCCTCGTGGTGCCCAAGACACCCCCCCACTTAGGTTTCCTTCCCGCAGCGTTTGTTTAGCCCATGAGCCTTACCCCAAGCCACAGACAAGCGCACATTGCCTCACCATCCTTGCTTTCCGTCGTCCAAGTCGGCCCCGGCGTACGGTGTGCAAGTCACAGCCCTGGGCTTTAGGAGGGTGGTGAATGCGTCACTATCCTTGAGAGGCGAAGCCGCATGAAGTCAAGGAAATCCGGAAAACTTATGACGCCTGTTGCTCGGCTGGGTCGGGACGCTCAAAAGCTTGGAGGTCAAGCCTGACTTGACTTGGCTTCACACGTACGCGATGCCTGGATGTGGTTGGCCATTCATCTCCTCGGTAAAGATTGTTTGTATTAAAAAGAGTAGTTGAGTGTGCACGCAGATCACTGCTAATTATAACTGATTTGAAACTAGCAAGCTAAGAGGCGCACATATTCTGTCTATTAAACCAAATAAAATAAGAAGTCCAAGATTGGTCTTGTGAGCAACTTGAGACATTGAATGAAGGCACCCGCTCCTTGAGGGGCTGGCCCAGTCCGATATGATACTCTATACAGTGTGCGAGGGGCGCAACCTACCTAGTCATGGACCCTCCAAGCAAGCTGATTTAGGCTCTGCAGCACTGCGACTACAGTGACCTTTCGTCCGCACCGTCCGCTAGGTACCTAGGAAAGCGCATCAGGCAGCAGTAGCAGAGCATTCTCCGCGAACCCCTCCAGCAGGTCCACCCCGCCGTAGCTGTCGCCGGCACTTCCTTACGAAATCGGGCCGCCTTCGTCACCAGTAGCCTTGTCTTCTTTAACCTGTCTGCCCGCCGCCGCCATACCCAGACATCGCCAACACATACAATAAGTCAAACTGACCGACAGCGACGAGCCGCAAAAAGTACTGCGTTGGAGTTCACTGATTTTGTCTACTTCCTCTCGCATGAGCCGCTTCCATCTTCTCTGTAAGCGTGCCTGCCCGCTACCCGGAAGGCTACACGACGTCGCCCGCCACCCTTCTGACGTTGCAGATCAGTGCTGACTATCCACCCGTAACAGAAGGTGCGCATATCACGAATTGCCCAAACGTTAGCCTACCCCCTTCGGCAAAATTACTACGGACTCTCCGAATCGATTGCAACCCGTCGATGCCTCTATTCCCTCTGTCGGCACCGAGCCACTAAACAGAGTGCCCGCGCTGACCGCCTTAACTTAGTTCAAACCCAGCCGCGAATCTAGCTACCATCATGGCTGATGTCGACATGACCGACGCACCCGGCACCGCGATTGCCAAGAAAACTGCTGATGGAGAGACCAAGGTCGCTGAAGGCAAGAAGCGCTTCGAGGTCAAGAAGGTGAGAAGGTTGGCGTTAGCATGCCTTGCACAAGCTTACCAGGTCCAGTGGAACGCAGTTGCCCTTTGGGCGTGGGATATCGTTGTTGACAACTGCGCCATCTGCAGAAATCATATCATGGATCTCTGTGAGTTGATAACCCACGTGGCAGACCCCCCCCCTCTTTCTGTTTCGGCTTGCTAATCCTCCTTACAGGCATCGAGTGCCAGGCAAACCAGGCCTCCGCCACCAGCGAAGAGTGTACAGTCGCTTGGGGCATCTGTAACGTGAGCCCTTCCCCTAATCACCCTGTCGTATATTCTTACTGACCAAGTATGTAGCACGCATTCCATTTCCATTGCATCTCGCGTTGGCTCAAAGCTCGGCAAGTATGTCCGCTGGACAACCGCGACTGGGAGTTCCAGAAATACGGCCGCTGAAGCGGTGGTGAACCCGGACGGTACAGCAACCTACAGCAGCGCAACATCATACCACAATGGCTGCGGAGGATTATCATACAAACAGCGGTAACTTCTTCAAGGGGGAGTTCTGCACGCAGCTAGCACGAACGACTGGGGAGGGATTGGGCTCACAAGGACCCGCGGGCACAAGAGTAGATACAGAACCATAAACTGTTACCGAAACGACGGCAATCTCTTGACTTCCACTATCCTGATTTCTCTATTGTAGCCATGTTCTGCATCCCATGTACTGATCCAGTGCCAGTTCTTGAGCCTGGTTCCAACCACTTGACTGGGTGTTGCTTGTAGAAGGGCCAGGGGGGTACAACGAGGAGGAAAGTAAGAACGGTTCCGGCCAACCCTACGTAGACTGCGAGCTTGATATCTTGAAGCAAGTAACCGATGATGAAGGAGAGAACCTGAGGGAAACAGTGGATTAGTATGTAAAGCGTACGAACCGAGAATGTGTATGATTTTCGGGTACTTACTCCAGATGCCGAGAGGACGATGGTCGCAAGCAGGTCTGCCAGTTTCTGGCCTTCAAAATCCTATGATAAGGATTTGGTTAGCTCGCGTTCACGGTGACACCAATGATGCTATATTGTATTGAAACGTACAATCTGACCCTCCGCCAGATCGCGAACTTGCTCGAGGATTTGATCAGCCATTGCGGTTGCGACTGTGGTGGGTAATCAGATTGGTTCGGACAGTGGAATGGTCGATCTCGCGCGTCGTCTGTCAAGTGGTAAATCGGGAGGCCGCCAGTCGATGTGCCAATACACCGTGCAGATAGATCACTTGGGTCGCAGTTGCAGAGCGTCGGGCCGTAGATGTGTGTCCGAATTATACTCCTCTGTCGGTCTGAGGTGATCGAGTGTCACTGGCTAAGCACCTAGGTAGGTAGGGGCGAGAGCGGTGTTAGAAACAAGTATGCCATTTCAGAGGCCCTCAAAAGCACGGACGGTATCTATTGGGCCTAATTCGCCAGCCCATTCGGCAGGGGCCGCGCCTACATCATCTGTCACTGGCTGACCCAAACGAATGGGTGGGTTGTGGAGACAGGCGACAAAGGCCGTGTGAGCATACTGTCTGTAATCAGCAGGCACACCATGTGAACTTGCGGGAAAAAAAAAGTCTGGCTGGCCTGTGCCGGGCGGCTTCTCCCTGGTTCGGGATTTTTAGTGAGAACCGGGAAATCCTCTCCTCCATTCTATCGCCTGTTTCCCCGTCCCTCATCGCTTTTCTTTTACCACAAAAAAACTCAAAAAAAACTCAATACGCTCAGGACAAAACCGTCCCAACTGTTTATTCTACAAAGCCGACTTCTGCTCATTGCGTTGCACCAGGAAGGACGGCCTCATCCTCATCAGATTAGTCTGATTCTGCTTGGTTCTTGATTCCAGTACCTACACCAAGAAACAACGCAATCTGGTTCCGGACTACGACGAGTTCTCCTTGAAGGTCAAAGTCCACGACAACAACAGTTTGTCCCGATTGCCAGCCAGCCTTTCTCAACAACAATCCTCCCCGCGAGCAATATTGCCTGTTGACTCCTCAGTCTCTGTACCATCGAACCGATTCGCCTACCACGCATCCCGAACTGCTGTTGAGACCGCCTATTTGCATCCGGCTTTCAGTCAGGTCTTCCAGGTCGAAAGACCCAGCTTATATACCACTCAACTCACAACACCACCAAGTTGGCTTCACTCGCAACTGACGCTACCTACCCCACCTGTTCACTCCGAGGTCCTGGTTTCTGGGTCTACAGCGGAGTGCACAAGAAACCTCCGTAATCGGGCTTCTCGTTGTCGAACAAAGGACCATTGGAAACAAATCGGCAGCATCGTCGCGCGTCATCGCAGGCTTCTTAGCACACACGCCTCTCCTAGGAACAGGCACAACTTAAGCCACCCTGGAAGCTCTTCATCATTCAACGCACACCGCGCCGCGGCCGCGCGGAGTGCGATTTGACTACGGTCTATACTGAACCCGCATCAGTTATGGGTATCGCAGCCTGAGTCAAGAGTTGTGGAGGCTTTTGAAGAGAAACGAGTTGAGCCCTATACTCCGTCACCTCTCTTTCCCGTCAAAACGGTCTTATCGGACAGAGCACATCGGTCTCATCATCGGTTGTGGAATTAAGGAACATCAACAATAGTGTTCCGCCAGCAATTGCCAATATGTCTGATCACGAGGAGAACACTTCGGAAGGCGTCTTCAAGACGCCAATCCCCGAGCTAGACGACCACCGTCACCAAATTGCGGCTTGCCCCCATCCGGAGCGGCCCCGAAGAGGCACTTTCGACACGCTTTACGGAGCGCGACTGCTGGGACCGGAGTCGGTCTCTGGTGAGCAGTCACCGAGCATTCGTGTCCGCGACTTTGAGGAGGCGATAGTGGACGATGAAGGAGGCGATGTCTCCCCTAACGCACGCCGTGTGCGCCGCCCGACCGTCGAGACTATAACCGACCAAAGATCAGTCTCCCCGCCCAATTCAGTGAAGGCCTTCGCCGAAGCACGCCGCCGCGAGCGTGGTATGTCCATATCCGAGTCCAAGGCGGAGAGAAATGCCAGTGAGGAGGATCTTCACCGAACCGTCTCCATCAGCAGTCGGCGTAGCCTTCGTAGCCGCCCTTACACGGCAGACGATGGCGCTAGCCTGGCTACCAACCAGTCCGCGGCGGAGGACGTCTGCTTCCCACTTCAGGATCCTCGACGCAAGGATCAACTGTACATTGACTTCGACTACCTCGAGAACTTCATTCAATCCGATCGAGCTTCGCGGACCGCTAGTCGCCGTCACTCTGTACGGTCCTTCCCTGACCTTAGGCAACAACAAATGTCCGACGGCGGACCGCCTCAGCTGCAACTCAGCACTGTTGACGGTGATATCCTCAACATGCCCTCCGATTCCTCGGTGGGACAAGACGCATCAGAGAAGGAGAAGGAGGCCCCCGTGGAAGACGCTAAGCCGAAGCCTGCACCTACCCAGCAGCCCCTGGACCCCAACCGTTTTAGCTTCTTCTCTTCGGCTTGGGAGTCAACGATTCACGCAGCGGAACTTGGCGACCTGGTCCTTCCTGGCGAGGACCTTCGAGGTCTTTTTGCGTTACCTGCCGACGAATCTGATGGAGTTTGGTGGCTGAACGTTAACAGCCCTACGAAGGAGGAGGTCACAGCCATCTGCAAGGCGTTCGGCATTCATCCCTTGACCATTGAGGATATCACAACCCAGGAAGCACGAGAGAAGATCGAGCTGTTTCCGTCGTACTACTTTGCAAGCTTCCGGTCCTTCCATGCCGTTCAAGAAGACGATGGCTTAGAGTACGAACCCTATAACCTCTACGTCGTAGTTTTCCGCGAGGGTACTTTGAGCTTCAGTTTCGAACCCAATGCCCACGCGTCTCACGTGCGGAAGCGTATTGCTTTGCTCAAAGACTATGTTGCACTTAGCAGCGACTGGATCTGCTATGCCCTCATGTAAGTTGACAAGCTACAAAAAGCGTAAACTTGTTTGCTAACCCTATTTCTTCATAGTGACGATATTGTGGATTGCTTTGCCCCAGTCATCCGGGACATAGAGCTGGAGGCGGATGCCATCGAGGATGGTGTATTTGTGGCGCGCGAGGATGATTCCAACCAGTTCCTACGGTCCATTGGCCGCGTGCGCAAGAACACGATGGCTCTGATGCGTCTTTTGGGAGGCAAGGCTGACGTTCTCCGAGGATTCACTAAACGCTGCAACGAGAACTACAAGGTTACGCCTCGAATGGACATTGGTCTCTACCTTGGTGATATCCAGGACCACGTTGTCACCATGGTTACCAACCTCGGCCATTTCGAGAAAATCCTCTCCCGCTCCCACAGCAATTACCTTGCCCAGCTTTCCATCAACAGCATCTCGCAAGGCACGCATACCAACTTGGTGCTCAGCAAGATTACCTTCCTTGCGTCAATTCTTGTGCCACTCAACCTGGTCTGCGGTTTGTTTGGTATGAACGTTGCTGTTCCGTTTCAGAATTCGTCGTCTCTCGCTCCTTTCTTCACCATCCTCGGAGTTTTGATCGTCTTCAGTATCGTGAGCCTCTCATTGGCCCGCAAATACAAGTATATCTAGGCGTTATATCTTGGAGTGTCGGTGAAGGATCGGAATCTTACAGCTGCCTTGTTATGTGTAACAAGTATGTCCTGGGCAGTTGCGGCATGTGCAACCAGACAACAAGCGCATGTTGATAATGATAATCTAGATAGTAATAACATCAGTGCTTTCTTGGGCTCAGACTTTGGATTGATCAACCGCAACAGCCAAATGATACGAATTCTTTGGGGGATGGCCGGTGCAGTGCAACGCAGCAAAATTGGTGCATACAGTTTCATGAACCATGGCTATAGGATTATATGATACCGCAGGCCTGTCACTCAGCCTTTTTTATTGTCGGAATACATGTGTATTGTTCGTCAATCATCTTGCACGAAAGCAGCTCGCTATTCATATCATTGACGAGGATGGTCGAATATTGAGGCTCGAAGTGCCGTGCACGGTGCTCGGCCAATGGTAGGTCGTTAAGCAAGAGTGGAGACCTTGAAAAAGCTGGATAGCAGAGGTCAACTACATTACCCAAAGCCTTCCGGCGATATCCCTTACATGTCGCAAACAACAGCGCGCCTTCCTAACAAATAGTTGCTGTGCCATTAAAAAAACGCCAACAAGGGCATTCCACGGAGCCTCAGCAAAAGCACATTCAATTGGGTTCCACCAAAGAAAGAATATTCCATAGCCAGAGCCATGGACTCCTCAAGATCGGCCCTCGAAAACTCGGACCTCGAAAAGCTCAACGACAAAGATAAGCTTGAACTCCGCCAGTTCCTCGCCAACGAGCAACAGAGATCCCAGATTCAGTCACGTTAGTACAATTTCCTCTATATCATTCTTCAGAGAGGCAGAACAGGCGGGAGCCGGGTCTGCGAAACACGACTGGAGAAGGTGCAGCAGCTGCGTGAAGTTATGGATTGCTGGAGAGAACCGCCACTGACAAGAGATGCCAACATGATAGAAACCCATGCGCTTACCGAGATCTGCTGGAAGAAGTGCGTCACAGGCTCGATCCGGAACTCCAAACTGGACAAGGGCGAAGAGGGATGCCTGGCCAACTGTGTTGACAGATTCCTTGATGTCAACTTTCTGACAATGAAGCACCTCAACAACATGCGCTCTGGTTAGAAATTTTTTTCTTAAACCGGTAATAATATGGAACAAACTCTAGGGGAGGCTAGTAGACGGGATAACGAGCCACGATAAGAAAGTAGTTCGTGTACGAACGTCTTGTGTAAAGCACATGTACAACTATGATGTAAAGAATAGAGTGGTGCATTACAACATCACTGGCCAGACTTGCAATGACAACCAACGGCCATACCTAATCGGGTTCAATCTATGTCCTAGTCGCACGAACACTGGTCAACGCTAGGTATTCATCATTGAAAGCATTGTAAATTCCGCCGAAGTCATGCATTTATCGAGACAGAACACGGTTATGGTATCCCAGCCTGAGTACCGGGGGAATCGATTGGTGCCCAATGGAGATGCCACTCCTGGGGATTCTAATCAACAACCGTAAGACGCCCATGCCAATGCCTTTGTGCGGTCAATGAACCCGAATTGCTTTTGTTTTTACTCATTCTCCTTCCCAAATTCCCATCATCCCGCTAGACTAAACGCTTAAACGAGAGCAAGCTTGGTGGCGGCGATGTCAAGAGCATCGACGTCAGGGGTGAGGCGGGCGTAAGCCTTCTTGGAACCGTCGGGGCGGATCAGGGTGTTGATCTTCACGGTGTCGATGTCGTAGAGCTTCTTGAGGGCCTGCTTGATTTGCGCCTTGTTGGACTTGACGTCGACGATAAAGACGAGGGTGTTGTTCTCCTCGATCTTCTTCATGGCGGACTCGGTGTTGAGGGGGTGGACAATGACCTTGTGCTCGTCGAGGCGGGGCTCGTGGGGAACCGACTTGCGAGGGTACTTGGGCGCGCGCGAGACAACGAGGGTCTTGGGGCGGTGGAACGAGGTGGTGTAGCGGACCTTGTTCTTGTAGTGACCGTGGGCCTATGTGATGAAGATATCTTAGTATATGTCGCAAAATTCTCTTTCCTAACAAGGCACCGTTCCTTCCAGTCCGAAATCCCAAGACTCGCTCGTCGGACTGGTAGGAAGACGACACATCAGAGTTCTTCAGTGTTAACTTACACCCTTGAGGGCAGCCTTGGCAGCGTTGTTGGCCTGCTTGGTGCCCTTAGGCGCCTTGGAGGCACCGCCTAAAGTAGAGATAGTCGCATCAGCAATCGCTCTTTGTGTTTCAAAAGAACTCGCAAAATCTGCTGCAGCATGATGCTTCGGGAAAGGCCTCGTTGGCGGCGAGTCCCCCCGTTGCGGTCGACGAAACAGGAGATTTTTATCGAGTTGACCTCATAATGTATTTTTGTGTTTGATGGTGCACCGGAATCTGGCGATATCCTGGCGGGAGATTGTGGTGATCAAGTACCTTTCTTGGAGTCCTTGGGGGCCATTGTGTATGCTGGGAGGGGATGTTGGCTGGCTGGGCGGGTTAGCTGGCTGTCGCGGTTGTCAAGGTCTAAAGGGAAGGGAAAAGAAGAGATTCCCAAATTCTTTTTCTCACAGCCAGTTCGGTTCTGTGGGCTTAGGGCAGCGGTGGTTTTTTTTTTTTTCGCTCATCTGGTCCGTGCCTCCTTGATGTTTGTTTCCCTTGTCGAGTGAGGAAGGGGCGCTCGGCGCGGGACGGATCAATGTTTTGCCGTTCAACCGATCTCTCACCAATCGCATTCCAAGACTTACATCCGTTGATAGGTATCATAAAAATTAATTGCTAGCTGCGTATTCATGGTGACTACCTTGATGATGCATAGTTGATACAGAGCCGCAGCTGAACATCAAGCGGAGGCCTTGCCAAATTGGTTCATTCTGCTTATCAAAACCAACTTTCTTCCGAGAACCTGCCACGTTTACAGCCAAGACTCACAAAATATGGGCAGGAACAAGCCCGCCAGCAGGCTTCTCTCGAGTGGCCGCCCCCCTACCCTCAAAAAGGCAAAGTCAATATCTCGCAAAGAAACCAGGGCTCTCATCAACTCTCATCACACTTTACAGAAGAAACGTCAACAGGCTCTTGCACGCGGTGACGAGAAGGAAGCGGCAGCAATAGCCGCAGACATATCTGCCCTGGGTGGCCTCGAGGAGTACCAACGAGCCAGTCTTCAAGGGCAGAGGGTAGATCGGGGTGGGGACAGCTCCAGAATCCTTCTCGACTGGTTGCGATCAGCCAATCTACAGCCCTCGGTAACCATATCCAGCGGGAAGGATAAGGGCGGCGTCTATCGCCGGTTGCGAATGCTCGAGGTGGGCGCCCTCAGCACCCAGAACGCCTGCTCCAAGAGCGGTCTTTTCGAGATGGAGCTTATCGACCTCAACAGCCAACAAGCGGGAATTCTGCAGCAGGACTTCATGGAACGACCTCTTCCCAAGGATGATTCGGAGCGGTTTGACATCATCTCACTCAGTTTGGTGCTCAACTACGTCCCGGACCACTCCCAGCGCGGTCAGATGCTTCTCCGCACGCTCTCCTTTCTCCGCCAGCCAGAAGACGCTCCATCAGAGACTTCCTGCACCCTCTTCCCCTCATTATTTGTCGTCCTGCCCCGAAGCTGCATCGCCAATTCACGCTACTTCTCCCATGATAGGCTGGTTGAGCTGATGAATCTCTTGGGTTACGTCCAGCTCCAGGGCAAGGTCACGAACAAACTAGCCTATTCTTTTTGGCGTAGAGAAGCCGCTCCTTGTTCGCCGTTGCCAATAGTTGCCAAGAAAGAGCTCAACCCGGGGGTGAATCGAAACAATTTCACAATCACTCTCAATAACTCATAACCCTGCCTTCGCACGCCCCGATCTCAAAAGTCACGGTCACAGTGTTTGGAAGTCTACTAAACGGTTGCCGCGGTGGCCACCTATCTTCCGACCATATACGGGCGACTATGTATTCCATCTGACACAGTACAAGTATTCTACCCCTCCAAACAAAGGCGGGCTCCAATCGCCATACCCAGCTGCCTTTTTCGGGCATTGCTCGATGATCACACGCTGGGCATCAAAGGTGATGCGAGTTCCAAGCGTTTGCTTCTGCAGCGATCGGCAGGCGATCACTTGCGTTGACGTCTCCGAATGGACGCCTTGAGAGGATTACGTTTCAGCAAGTCAACGATGACCTACATTGCGGGACATTCTTCGCCAAGAAGTCAAGCAATATACAGTTGCTTATCGGCAAATGCATCTGGTTAATAGGTCCTTGCCTCTACCGGCTTCGTATCGCCGGACGGACGGTCGGTATTGTTTCTGACAGACTTGGACCAATCGGCCATCTGCCTGGTCTAGCCTGTGCGGCGGAAGCACCACGAACAAAAGTCTCTAGATGGGGCGTCGGATAGAGCGACTTAGCTCGCGATTGTGAGGACAAGATAACGCCATCAACCGCAGCTGAATAGCCTTCCTCATTTCAAAGAATCCCCCAGCTCCCACAATTCAGCTTTAGCTCGCCCCAATTCGAGCTCAGGATCGTCGTGTCTCGGCCGGGATTCTATCGGCGCGGCTACATTCATACACAATGTTGCCCGTCTAGGGCCCGGGCATGAGCGAGGAGCATCTAGAACAGTCGCTTTTGTATCTGGAGAGGGACAGCGAATGAACAAAAGGCGCGTGGATATGTGATTGACGGAGACGGGAAAGCTAAACGTGGTGTTCACCGGATGCAGACTGTATTCGAGGCAATCCCTGCCGGTTGTCCCGAAAGTGCTACAACTTCTAGCAGAAACGTTCCTGGCTGGGAACACTACAATCACTAGTCGCTTCCTCAATAGCTTAGCCCAAGACCCTCCAATTCGCCAAAGTCTCTAATGGGTTCTAATGTTGGGCTCATGTCCGCCGGAAGGGGTGCGTTGCCGGGGCGAACTACAGGTATGCTCTGCATTCCAGCCGCAATGGCAGCGGTGACTTCGTTGGGGTTGTCACTGAGAAACAGCCATTCCTCAGGCTTGATGTCCTCAAAGTTGGAAAGGATAGAGGCGTAGCTACTAGGCTGGGTCTTGAGGCCGGCATTGACGGTATCGAACCAGCCAGAGATGAGGGGCGTCAGGTCCGATGGCTGGGCGTCAGTGTAGCCAAAGAAGAGCTTCTGGGCGGGAACCGAGCCAGATGAGTAGATGACGAGGCGCAAGCCGGCGTCCTTCCAGGACAAGAGACGCTCAGCAACGTCCGGAAAGAGTGGCGCCTTGATATCGCCCGACCTGTAACCTTCCTTCCAGAGGTATCCCTGGAGGGCCTTGAGGTACGAGGCCTTGACGTCTCGGCTGACAAGGTCGCGGAAGTGCGCTTCAAAGGCGGATCGGTCAGACACGCAATCCTCTGGGAATGCATTCCGGTAAACAGCAAAGTCGGGGCTGTCCCATTGTTTGTCTAGGGTAGCTGGAAGAGCATCGACGGCGTAAGGGTACTGCGCGGAGGTTTTAGTACGGGATGACTCTTCAGCCGTGTGTAGTTACTCGGCTCGGAATGAACAAGCCACCTCCGTGCCATCTGGGAAAGCAGCAAAACATCGGGGGACCGCCGGATACCCGAAAGACCGGAGAGGGAAGAAGGGAAAGCACGAGCGGGACAACATACTAGAACATCTTTGACAAAAGATATGGGACACACAGTGCCCTCTGCAGTGCATCGAAGTCACAAATCAGCAGGTGTTGTCTTATCGAGCTTGCACCCACAATGACCCGAAGACATTGTCACCAATGACTATAGAGGTACATAATGCGGTGAGGCGAGGTGAGGTGAGACGAGACAAGAAGCTCACCGATGTCAAGCAATACGACCTTGATAGCGCCTAGGTTGGGTGCCATTGTGTATGAATTGTCTACAGGGGAAAACTTGGCTTGGTGCGTCGTTGGCAGCTGCGGCAGTGACTAAGGCAAGGGAGGTGTGGGGATCTGAAAAAACAAAAACAAAAAAAAACTTGAATTTTTTTTATTTTAAAAAAAACCCCCCCATCCAAAATTCTCGGCGAGACGGTGAGACTGAGACGCGACGCGAGATCGGATAATTAGGAGAGAGATTTGGGGGTGAATCCTTCAGCGACTTTCTGTTTCGTTGCCGTTATTCAAGCTTCCTGCAGCTGGTTGGAACAGGTTCGCTGGCGCCAGTTCATGCATGACAGGTTGAATGCACGGGAAATTGGAATAAGGCGGTCAAGCCAGGCCGGAATTCGAATAGGCCCGGACAGGAAAAGGGCGGTTGCAGTTTTGGCAGGTGGTCAAGTGCAGGTGAGAGTTTGGGTGACTGTGTGGTGTGTGTGTGAGAGCCTGAGAGGGAGACAGAGTTGGGCGCAGCTGTGTGAGTGTGTGAGTGGAGATGGCGAATGAGGTTCCAAAGGGCTACACCAAAACCTCAAACTCTTGGTCGCAGCCGTTGGACGAGACCCAATAGCAGCGCACCGTTAAGGCGACCATTCTCATGGCAACCTTGGAGGAACAGTACCGAAGCAGCGGTGAGGGAAAACGAGTTGGAAAAACATGTCACAGCACAGCGCCGTCGCCATGGGACGATTGGTCCGACCACTAGGAAGGCAAAAGGAAGAAACAAGGGGCAGCTTGAGTGTATACCTATTACCTACCTACCTAGGTCAAGTAAGGCGGACTAAACAAATTCAAGACCGGACGGACATGGCAGCCCGGCAGCCGGAAAGAGGGTACCGGCGGGGGCTGTCGAGAGCCCGTCGGCGGTCTGTCATTGTGACTCCCGTTGGGCTGTGAACTTGACAGAAGCGCAATGAAGCTCGTCGTCCCCGGTCCTCCTTCGGCCTCAACGGACGATAATAGGGCGCCCGGGCTCTTTTGACTCGAGTGGAGCATCGCCGGCCTCCCTTCCTCGAGGCGGGTATGAGCGCCCAGTCCTTGCATGAATGGATGCATGCAAAGCCATCGAAACAAGGCGACCCGAACAGCATGCATCGTGAAAAGCGGTATCGTGGCGGCCGGACAAGCCACATCAACACCAGCATGCCAGAAGCCAGAAACCAGAAACGTCCCGGACGTACAGTACCAGAGGCGGACACCTGCCGGGCTGAGGTGGCTGCTTTCAATGGGTCCCGCTGCGAATGGGCCGCCGGCACGGCAGCTGTGAGCCAATTGACAGGAACAGGTAGGTGCCGGATCGAGGGTCCCACTTCGCTCGCGTCTGCAGATTGGGCTGGGACGGCTGGGAATGAGTGGGGCTAATGCAACTTCTAGCCTCACAGTGTTCCTGCTTCCCGACCAGCCTCCTTCTCTCTTCCCATCTCTGTCGATAACGCAGCTTACCGCGACTTCTCTGCTCACATTGCAGGCCAACAACAAGCCGATAATAACGGCTTTGGTATGCAGCAAACTCGACGGAATGGGGTCTATAGGTTCCATCGTTTCGGCGTTGGAAAGGCGGCCGGCCACGAGCCTCTGAACCCCTTGTTTCTCGTTCCTATCTGCAACACGCACTTGGCCTGTGAATCACCTTCCCTCTCTTTCTCCGAATCTAGTCAAGCACATCAACTGACCAGAGCTAGCGATTCTACTGGCCCCACGCGCCATGCCCGCGTCCACTAGGTATCCGCTGTCTTGATTTAGTTGACTTGCTTGATCAGAGAGCTTTCAGGCTAGAAGATGCCCCACTCCACTGAGCAACGTGTCTCGTCGAGATGTGGTGCTGGTGGGTAGAAAACGGAGACACAGGTTGCAGCCATCCATCGCGGTACCTTGTGCGGTGGCAGCGGGTCTGGGGATAAGACTAGGGACGTGTGCTTGGCTGGGGAGGAGGAAGAGGGATCGAGGACGAGAGCGAACCAGTGGGTGTACGCGGACCGTATCGCCTTGCGGCGAACGGACCCGACTTGAAGCGAAAGTATCGTGTTGTTTTCCGTGAATGATGGGATGTATCCCGCTCGTTGATAGCTGGCGGCTTGTTGATTTGCGCGTTGCATCACAATATCCTACGGGAGCACGCCCTAGTGGTTGAGTTCGGTCCTTGACACACGGACCGCGGGAATCCATCACGGAGGGCGACATATGGCTGATCGCAAACTGTCGATTCCCTGTCAGATCCCCAAGACGGATTGCAAAGGTGAATAACGTTTTGGCAGCTTGTTATCAAGCAGGTATGTATCGTATCCACACATAAATGCAGCATAACGGGGACCGGCTCTGCCCCGATCTCGCCTCCGCAAAAACAAGGAAGGGAAGGGAGAGGGAGGCTGGCAACCGTTCTGATGGGCACATAAACGCTTGTTGCTACTCAACTTCCACCGAATCCCGATGAAGCTTTGGGAACACGCAGCTCGCTATAGACTTGTCTTGAAGCGGACAGCTATCGCACGGAATGGGGACCCTGGAGCTCGGACATTGAGGATATCCACCCCCAAGAAGCCGAGGAGATGATGAGATGCCAAAGAGTCATTCCATCATGCATGGCTGGCTGGCCTGCACTACGACGAGTCACCGCGTGCTTGTCTGCTCGACTCCTGGTCTTGTCCGGTGGATGCCCCGAAGCGCGCCGGGTGGAAACCTTGTCACCACGGCCGAGACTCCGTTGCCAACCCTCGCCGTCCCCCCTATGTTTCCACGTCTGACACACTCTGTGTCTCTCCGGATGCGGCAGGCATCGCCTTTCGTCAACGATTCTTCCGTTCGGGAAAAGAATGCCATTCTCACCCGCCACGAAAGCAAGACGCCTGGGTGATACGCACCGCGTCTTCTAAGGGGGCGGCGGAGGCAGTCCTCCTACATCCTTTTAGCCTAAGCGAAGCCCAACGTGCAGAAATGCAGCCGCATCGTAGGACGGACGGGGTCGTAAGTTTG